ATTTATATAGAGTGACCCAAAAATTCAGTTAACCAAAACAAAAATTGAATATCTAAAAAAGTCTTTCTCGATTACTTTTGACGTAGGATTTTCCAAGTTGTTTTCAGAGCTTCTAAATCCATATTTCACCAGTTAGTAGCAAACAACCTGTTTATAATGACCTCTAAGGGATTCACTCTTTTGAGGAGTTTTGACCGGCATGTTAAATTTTTAGTGAATTCTTCCTTCTTGGACGCCAGTTTTTCAAACCTCTACATTTTATACAATATCAATAAAGAGACACCTATATTAGGGATGTAACAGTGACGATAATCACCAGTGTTACTATTGATCGGTCTGGACATGCACATATAGAATAATGATGAACGCATGATAAAACTACGATGAGTTTAGATTCATTTTGATTTTTTCGGTCGGCGGCGGCCTGTTTCAAGAAAACAGCTGATTCATATAAAACATGACCAAACCGTGAGAATTTAACCTTTCTCAAACAAGAATTTCGAAAAATCTCCTTCCTATAGATTTGAATTTCGAAAACACTATCATAGTTTTATCATGCATTCATTGTCTTCACCTGTAGTCTATTATGCACATGTTTAGGCGAGTCCAAATTTGTACGTAAGACTGGTGCATTGGCTATCACTAGTATTGTGATGTGCTGTTGGACGCAATGTATCATCAACATTGCGGTCAAAACTTCACAAAAGAATGAATCCTTTGGAGGTTAAAATAAATAAGTGGCCCGCTACTAATTGGCGAAATATGGATTTAGCAGCTTTGGGATCAATAATTGAGGAGATCTTTCGTTGAAAGTAATCGAGAAAGACTTGTTTAGTAAAGCACTGATGGAGATATTCAATTTTTTCTTTGGTTAACTGACTTTTGAAATATTTCTATATATATATATATATATATATATATATATATATCAGAATGTTCATACCTCGATCCCAATCTTTAATTTGAACATACATAAGAACAGCATCTCTTGGTTTTTTAGCTTTAAGAAATTCAGCTTCAGCTTCAAGGTAACGACGTTCATCTTCAAGATGAAGTGCATATTTGTAATGAACTTCGGGAAGTTTATCTTTGAGAAGAAGTCGTGCTATATCAAATGCAAATTCAAATGTATGTTGTTCACATGCTAATTCAAGTGCTTGTTCAGCATGACCTAATTTATTAAGAAGTTTAACACCTGCATCACC